TCTAAATAGTCTGCTTATTAATCCCAATAAGACGAAATTACTTGTGTTCGCAACTCGTTATATGTTGAAACAGATACCGGCAGATTTCCATATTTTACTATTGGGGAAAAAAACTGTTTCCTGTGACCTCAGCCACTGATCTAGGCGTGACACTGGATAGTGGTTTGACGTACGATGAACACGTCACAAAACTGGTTTCCTCTTGTGTCGGTAGCCTGTGTCAAATTAATAGAGCAAGGCACCTTTTTGATATGAAGACGTTAATTCTTTTAATAAACGCGTTGGTTTTTAGTGAACTCTATTACTGTTCAACCATATGGTCTAATTCATCGAAGAAAAACATTGCAAAATTGCAAAAAGTTCAGAATTTCGCAGCACGTATTGTCACGGGCACAAAAAAATTCGACCATATCACTCCATCTTTAAAACAGCTTAACTGGTTACCAGTCAATTATATGTTGCGATTCCGAGATACAGTAATGGCTTATAAATGTGTTAATGGTATGGCCCCATCATATTTATGTCGTATGTTCCAAACAAGATCACAATTACACAATTTGAACACAAGATCTAGCGAATTATTGGAAATACCTTTATATAGAACAGCGACCGGATAACGTTCTTTTCGGAACAGTTTGCCAGAATGGCTAAAAGACCATAATCTTAATTTGGAACGTTTTAAAAGCGGGCTACGAAGTTATTTGGTTCAACAATTTCTCGATGAATAGAACTGAATTACATCTTTTACTGACTAAATTTTAAATTAAATAGTATTAATAAGTATTTTACCTTAAATATAACTAGTTTGATATTATATATTTTGGTGTTAATAGTATATTATATAGTTTTTAGAATATAATTTAAGTAATTACTTTTTATAACTTCTGTATTGAACACTGAAAAACCCTTCTGGGAGTGTTTAACATTAATAATAATAATAATAATAATAATAACAGTATGCCAGGATATGCTTCCGAAAAGATGGCAGTCAACCCAAACGAAAAGGACGCCCGAAGCACCCTCTGAAGGTATGAAAACATTTTTCAAATATAAAAGTATATTATGTAGCATGAATCATTTAGTTATTTCCCTTCCCCTTTGAATGCAAGAAATATACTGGCCTGTGTCAATATGAAGAAATACAGGTCACTGTCATGCAGGCAGAGAATACCAATACAGTTCACTGTTAGGCCAAAGGGGCCCAGACGTGTATCAGTATATAATAAATATATAATCATAGAATATACTACACAGTAAAATTTGTAATGAATTTTATATTTAAAATAATATTTACTTGCCTATACTTTAATTGATTGTATGTGATCGTTTTTTATTTCTGGGCGACTTTACACTCTGTGCCTGCGACTGTCATTACCATCACCTATGTTGACAGTCGCAGGCACAGAGTGTAAAGTCGCCCAGAAATAAAAGACGATCACAAGCAATCAAAGTAGGCAAGTAAATACCGTAAACCTCCGACTATAAGCCTCCCGAATATAAGCCCCCCCCCGAATATAAGCCCACCACATATACTAATGCTCACCTCATTCCAAATATAAGCCCCCCTCCCCAAATATAAATCCCCGAATATATAGGCCCAGTAGCCCACTACGTTACTCAACATTGACATTGTCTTTCAATATAGCAGAGAACTGTTTTTGAACAGATGACAATATTTGAAATAGCCCGCGTGCAGGCCCAAGGGAACTGATATTGGGCCTGCAAGCAAGGCCCGGTATTTTGTAAAACGCCCCTTTTCATAACACGCCCCATTCGCGCGTCAATTGTCAAAAAAGAACCAATGACAGCACCCAAATATTAACAAACAAACTCGCATTAAAATGTTGCGGGGTCTTCTCTGCTTATTCAGAACATGCCATAAACAATGTGTAAATGGCTGCGTTTTAACTCCAAAAAAGCAAGCAACGCAGTCAGTAATTGCCAAATTTGCAAGTGCTCATTTTCAACTAAAATCGGAACAGGCAAATTAGGACGAATTTCAACAGAAAACCAGTCCAGTGAGGGAAGTCGTGCGACCACATTAGCATTTATAATGTGTGCTTCGCTATCGCCATTGTTATAAATAAATTGTCTCACTTATCAGATCGTGTGTGCAATTCTTGTTGGCGGCGGAAAGTACGAAATTTCATTTGGTAAAGAACTCTACAAAAGAAGAGAGCGTTCAGAGTCGAGATCGTTTCGTTTCAAACGGCAATTTAATACCATTACCGTCTTCTGTTTCGCTCTCTCAGCGAAGCCTTGTAAATCGCAAAGAGTTTCGAATAGGCTTACATGCAACTGCATCTCAACATCAACCAAAAGATCATTTTCTTGAGGAACGTATAATGTATCAAGTCTGTTTGAAATTAATGAAACTCAAGTAAACGTTACTATATAGTTTACCCCAGTCGTAATGTTGCTATTCCAACACCTCACGACAAGCAATCCCCATTGTCATAACGGCAAAAACATCTCTTCCTTCAAGTAAACAATAAACAGTCTGTTCTTGTTCCATTTGTAATCGAAAAAAGTGATCAATTTTCGAATTTTAAGCTTATCGAGAGTTTATCGAGAGCCTTTGTGATGAATCACTGACCTAATCATAGAATTCAATAGCAAACAGCCAATCAGAATGCTGCGTTCGTGGGCGAACGCGGAAAGTACAAAATACCGGGCCTTGCTTCCAGGCCCACTATCAGTTCCCTTGGGCCTGCACGCGGGCTATATTTGAAAACGTTGTCATTCTCCTTATAGCCCACTATGTGAATCAAAACACGTTATTAACCCATTGAGTGGCGATGCACCCTCGTGCAGCCTACTTTAGTATTTTACTCTGTCTAATGCCACACGATTTTACTCGTCAAGGGGAGAGCCCTGGCGCTTAATGGGTTAACTGGCCAATCTGCCAATGTGTCTAGCTAACCCATTGAGTGGCGATGCACCCTCGTGCAACCTACTTTAGTATTTTACTTTGTCTAACGCCAGACGATTTTACTCGTCAAGGGGAGAGCGCTGGCGCTTAGTGACTTAATACATGTTTATTTTCCTGTTTATGGCTGACTTGTTTATGTCTGACTTGTTTTATGTCAACCTAAGTTGAAAACAGTGTAGTGTGACCTAATTCCCGGAAAGGTCTGTTGTGTTACCATGTATCCCAATCACAGCTCTGAATGCACTGAACAGGCACTGCGGACAAATTTTTAGTAATTTCGTTGCAGCATAGAAAACGATTTTCCTTTAGTTTGAGTAAGAACTGAAATATTTTGATTTAATGATTTAATGATTTATTAACTTCAGCCGTCAACAGAAATATACATATGCAAACAGGAAGACGGTTCAGGAACACTAACACAGCGTGAGCCAATTACGTTAGTGACCTGTTACAAAACATCATTATACAAAACTTCACAACTTATAATTTAAATATCAAACAAGAATATAGTATAATCCTTTTTATCCGAAGTAGAGAGAGAGCGTAAAAATTTCGAAATTTGGGAAAACAAAATGACAAAATTGTCAAACAGAATAAATGCGAGAATATATATAGGTTCTGTATCCGTCGATAAAATAAAACGAAAATGGCGAAAAACCCAACTCTACATCGGATAAAATGAAGTATACTACATTGAATAATTGCCAAAATAACTAGTTCAATTAAGAACAACATTTCATTGTTGCAGTAAGCTGCCTGGCTTTATGGCATTTCAGACAAACTGATTTCCACGTCTGCGGATTTTCCTGGTCAAACACGGTTAATGTTGCGGAGTGGTAATAGTTTATAACACGTGATTTAAAGCTCTGCAATGATAGTTCTGGTTTCCGTAGCTCATCTGGTAGGCAGTTCCACACACGCGATACTCGTACAAGATAACTGTTCTGGTGACATAGCGTTCTTACTTTAGGAATGTTATATTTTACAAGAGAGTTATTAGAAGAGCGTAGATTTATGGTTGAAGTAAGAGTGTCAACTTCTTCGGGTAGGATATCAGTTTTAACCAAGCCATATTTGCATTTGAAGAGGAACAGGATATCAAGATATTCGTGCCAGTAACAGAGAGGTAGCATATTCAACGCAGCGAGTCTCGTTTTATATGGCATGTCCGTTTGGAATGGTAAAGACAGTACGAATTTGGTCGCTCTACGTTGTATGCGTTCGAGCTCCATACACATGGTGATAATCTGTGGACACCACACTTGTGAGGCATAAGCAAGATGGGATCTCACAAGTGTAAGGTAGAGACAGCGTCGGGTATTTACGTTTTTAACTTTGATAGTCGAACGTTTGAGCATACCAAGTAGGCGGTTGGCTTTCGTAACTTGCTCGTAAATATGAGTGTTCCATCTGAGATCTGAACAAACCGTCACTCCGAGGTCTTTCTGGGAGGAAACATGCTGCAAAATTTTACCGTTGACAATGTATTCAGCAACAAGAGGATGACGTTTTCTCGTAACGCTCAGAACTTTGCATTTTTCGGCGTTGAATTTGAGCCTCCAAAACTCAGCCCATTTCTCCACGTTTCTCGCTTCAGCTTGAAGGACACAGGTGTCAACCGGTGATTCAATAACTGAGATGCATTTTGTGTCGTCGGCAAACAAGGAAACGTCAACAGCGGATGAGGTTATTGATTCGGGAAGGTCGTTTATGTAGATGAGAAACAGGAGTGGTCCGAGTATTGATCCTTGCGGAACGCCGGAGGAAACTGGACGTGTCTCTGAAATCTCACCATTGACTAGTACACGCTGTTGTCGTCCGGATAAATAACTTTTAAACCACGTTAAAATATTGTCCCTAAGTCCAAATCGTTGGAGTTTCTTTAAAAGAAGGCTATGATTCACCGTATCAAACGCTTTAGCAACATCGAAATACAAGATATCTGTTTGTTTCCCTGAATCCAGGTTTTGACTGATGCGGTGAAGAACGGAAATGAGCTGACCTGTGCAAGACTTTCCTCTCAGAAAACCATGCTGTGCGACGGATATCATGTTCTCTATATGACCAATCAGACGGTTGTAAACACAACGTTTAAAACTTTCGCAACAACGCACATGAGGGAAATTGGTCTGTAATTCTCAACAAAACTCTTGATTCCTTTTTTATGAAGCGGGATGATGTTGGACAGTTTCCAATCTGATGGTAGGGAGGCCTGCTTTAAGGATTTGTTGAAGAGACATATTAATGATGGTGTGATGGAGTGCGCACATTCTTTTAGTAAGCGGATTGGTATATTATCTGGACCAGATGCTTTACTAGGATCGAGGCAATGAAGAACGTCATATACTTCACTTGGGTCTAAAATAATGTCAGAAATGGTCTCTTCACATACAGGTGTAGTGGGGATTGAAATATCATCACCTTCTGTTAGAAATACTGAGTGGAAGTAGTCATTGAACATTTCTGCAGCTTGTTTTTGACTAGTGGAATCTAAGCGTGG